CCTCCTCCTCCTCCTCCTCCTCCTCCTCCTCCTCCTCCTCCTCCCTCTACGCCGCCTTACTGGCGTCCGAGGATCGAGGGTTGGCGATCGTTCGAAGATCGGAGATCCAGGATTCAGGGTCCAGGGACGGTCTCATGTCGAAGCTCGAGGGCCGACGAACGAGCGAAGACTCCGAGGGCGGTTCCCTCGTGGAGTGCCGATCACAATTTTTCAATACAAATGCCTCCTAGATGGGTCCCAGTGCGGTCGGGAGCTTTGGCTCAGCATGTCGCTCCGCCAGTTCTGGCCCACCACGCTTCGGCGCGGCACGCTGTCCACGTCGCGGCCCCCAGGCGTCCACGTCCCGAGCCTTCCCAGCCTCCCCCGCGGAGCGGAGCGACACGCTATCCGCTTGCAAGGCACAGTGTGTCGCCGGGGCCGCCGCCGTGACACGCTGAACAACAGTTCCTGACCGCCTGTAGGCCTCCCAGAGGGGGGGGTCCCAGTAGATTCGGTCGGAAGAATTTCGAGCTGGCTGGGGGTATGATGCGGTCCAGCACAGGTCACGGCGAGCAGGAAGGGGTGGCAAGGCCCGAGGTTGTGGGTTCGAGAAGGTGTTCTGTCTTCTTCTGCCTCCGGGGTCCGCCTTCGGGCCCCAGGGCCCCCAAGAACGGATCCGGGTGAAAAACTGCACCGGATGAGCCTCGGGAGGGAAGGGTCCCAAGGACTGATCTTGAGCGGATTTGGCCGCATCACCTCTCTTGACCGATTTGTCTCGGGGTCCACCCAGTTCAGAGGAGCCCCTGGCCGCCTCCAAGCAGATGCCCCGTGCCGGCGATGCCTCGTCGATGCGCTGGGGCGACGCGCGGAGCACATGGAGGCGGGTGGGCGATGCACCAACAAGCAATGCATCATCGATGCGTGGCCAAGGCACCAAGGCACCACGTGCACGGAGGCGCTGCGCGCACGACGCTCGAATGCCCCCCCCGCCCCCGTGGGGGAAGGGATGTCCGAGCGGATCCGAGGGGCCAGCTGCGGAGCCGAGGGCTTCTGGGCTCCGAGCCCGGAGCTCCGAAGGCCCCGGGCTGTCATAGGGGCCATCTCGGAGGCCTCTGGGGGCGCTCTGGGGGCGATGCCCGGGGGCCTCCTGGGCCGTCTTGAGCCGTCGGAGAGCTGATGAGAAGAAGATGCCCAAATCCTTCAACAACTCAAAGGAACATCAGCGCTTTTTTGGCCCCGTGGGGCCTTCCTGGAGGAGCTCTCGGCGGCCCCGTGGGCCCCCCCGCGCGTCGCGAAGCAGGCCTGGCGGGCGCTCTCTTCTGGGGGGGGAGGGTCTTGCTTCTCTCGGCTTCCAGGGGCCCTCGCCAGGCCCAGGGCGCCTGCAGAGATTTCTCGGGAGGAGGTGGCTCAAGTCATTCTGGCTCACGCGATTTTGGCTCAAGTGCGCCTGTCTTTGTTTTGCTAGAAGCGAGAAAGACTACAGTCTGCACCCGATGGCGCTCCTCATCGCCGCGGCCTCGTTGCTGGCACTCGCGCACGCGTCGGGCGCGCAAGCTTCCTGCGCTGTAGGGCAGCAGTGCGCTGCGGTAGAGCAGGACGACACGGGCATGCTCCAGAAGAGCTCGCAGATGATGCAGGTGAATCGGCATGAGCAAATGAGCGTGAGGACGGCGCCCACGAACGACGCCGAGTGCAAGGACGTGGAGGGTATCAACAAGGACCTGCCCATCGTCTACGACTCCAGCTGCCCCGGCCTGTGCTGCTTCGAGGACCAGCCGTGCAGGTACAACAACACGGGCTGTTACTCCGCAGCCTTGGCGCAGCAGAAGGTGAGGACGCCCACGAACGACGCCGAGTGCAAGGACGTGGAGGGTATCAACAGGGACCTGCCCATCGTCTACGACTCCAGCTGCCCCGGCCTGTGCTGCTTCGAGGACCAGCCGTGCAGGTACAACAACACGGGCTGCTACTCCGCAGCCTTGGCGCAGCGAGGTGAGGACGGCGCCAACGAACGACGCCGAGTGGCAAGGACGTGGAGGGTAACAACAAGGACCTGCCCATCGTCTACGTCTCCAGCTGCCCCGGCTGTGCTGCTTCGAGGGACAGCCCGTCAGGGTCAACAACACGGGCTGCTACATCTCCGCAGCCTTGCGCAGCAAGAAGAATGATGAACGCCCACGAACGACGCCGAGTGCAAGGACGTGGAGGGTATCAACAAGGACCTGCCCCATCGTCTACGACTCCAGCTGCCCCGCCTTGCAGCTTTCGAGACCCAGCCGGCAGGTACAAACAACACGGGCTGCTACTCCGCATCCTTGGCGCAGCAGAAGATGAGGACGCCCACGAACGACGCCGAGGCAAGGCGAGGAGGGTATCAACAAGGACCTGCCCATCGTCTACGACTCCAGCTGCCCCGGCCTGTGCTGCTTCGAGGATCAGCCGTGCAGGTATAACAACACGGGCTGCTACTCCGCAGCCTTGGCGCAGCAGAAGGTAAGGACGCCCACGAACGACGCCGAGTGCAAGGACGTGGAGGGTATCAACAAGGACCTGCCCATCGTCTACGACTCCAGCTGCCCCGGCCTGTGCTGCTTCGAGGACCAGCCGTGCAGGTACAACAACACGGGCTGCTACTCCGCGCCTTGGCGCAGCAGACGGTGAGGACGCCCACGAACGACGCCGAGTGCAAGGACGTGGAGGGTATCAACAAGGACCTGCCCATCGTCTACGACTCCAGCTGCCCCGGCCTCTGCTGCTTCGAGGACCAGCCGTGCAGGTACAACAACACGGGCTGCTACTCCGCAGCCTTGGCGCAGCAGAAGGTGAGGTCGCCCACGAACGACGCCGAGTGCAAGGACGTGGAGGGTATCAACAAGGACCTGCCCATCGTCTACGACTCCAGCTGCCCCGGCCTGTGCTGCTTCGAGGACCAGCCGTGCAGGTACAACAACACGGGCTGCTACTCCGCAGCCTTGGCGCAGCAGAAGATGAGGACGCCCACGAACGACGCCGAGTGCAAGGACGTGGAGGGTATCAACAAGGACCTGCCCATCGTCTACGACTCCAGCTGCCCCGGCCTGTGCTGCTTCGAGGACCAGCCGTGCAGGTACAACAACACGGGCTGCTACTCCGCAGCCTTGGCGCAGCAGAAGGTGAGGACGCCCACGAACGACGCCGAGTGCAAGAACGTGGAGGGTATCAACAAGGACCTGCCCAATCGTCTACGACTCCACTGCCCCTGTCTGTGCTGCTTCGAGGACCAGCCGTGCCGGTACAACAACACGGGCTTGCTCTCGCAGCCTTGGCGCACAGAAGGTGAGGACAGCCCACGAACGACGCCGAGTGCAAGGACGTGGAGGGTATCAACCAGGACCTGCCCATCGTCTACGACTCCAGAAGCCCCGCCTGTTGCCTGCATTCGAGGAACCAGCGTGCAGTGATACTACAACACGGGCTGCTACTCCGCAGCGGAGGCGCAGCAGAAGGGTGAGGACGGCCCACGACCGACGCCGGAGAGCAAGGACTGGGAGGGTATCAACAAGGACCTGCCCATCGTCTACGACTCCAGTTGCCCCGGCCTGTGCTGCTTCGAGAACCAGCCGTGCAGGTACAACAACACGGGCTGCTATTCCGCAGCCTTGGCGCAGCAGAAGGTGAGGACGCCCACGAACGACGCCGAGTGCAAGGACGTGGAGGGTATCAACAGGACCTGCCCATCGTCTACGACTCCAGCTGCCCCGGCCTGTGCTGCTTCGAGGACCAGCCGTGCAGGTACAACAACACGGGCTGCTACTCCGCAGCCTTGGCGCAGCAGAAGGTGAGGACGCCCACGAACGACGCCGAGTGCAAGGACGTGGAGGGTATCAACAAGGACCTGCCCATCGTCTACGACTCCAGCTGCCCAGGCCTCTGCTGCTTCGAGGACCAGCCGTGCAGGTACAACAACACGGGCTGCTACTCCGCAGCCTTGGCGCAGCAGAAGGTGAGGACGACGCCCACGAACGACGCCGAGTGCAAGGCCGTGCCGGCATCAACACGGGCCTGCCCATCGTCTACGACTCCAGCTGCCCCGGCTGTGCTGCTTCGAGGACCAGCCGTGCAGGTACAACAACACGGGCTGCTACTCCGCAGCCTTGGCGCAGCAGAAGGTGAGGACGACGCCCACGAACGACGCCGAGTGCAAGGCCGTGCCGGGCATCAACACGGGCCTGCCCATCGTCTACGACTCCAGTTGCCCCGGCGTGTGCTGCTTCGAGGACCAGCTGTGCAGGTACAACAACACAGGCTGCTACTCCGCAGCCTTGGCGCAGCAGAAGGTGAGGACGACGCCCACGAACGACGCCGAGTGCAAGGCCGTGAAGGGCATCAACACGGGCCTGCCTATCGTCTACGACTCCAGTTGCCTCGGCCTGTGCTGCTTCGAGGACCAGCCGTGCAGGTACAACAACACGGGCTGCTACTCCGCAGCCTTGGTGCAGCAGAAGGTGAGGACGACGCCCACGAACGACGCCGAGTGCAAGGCCGTGAAGGGCATCAACACGGGCCTGCCCATCGTCTACGACTCCAGTTGCCCCGGCCTGTGCTGCTTCGAGGACCAGCCGTGCAGGTACAACAACACGGGCTGCTACTGAGGGGAGAGCTGTTGTGTATGATGGGTGGCCCAGAGTTGCTGCCGCACTAGAAGCGTGTGGTGAGTGAGTGAGTGAGTACATTGTGCGTTGTGTCAGCTCCGGCAGTGTCGATCTTGTGTTCTGCGATTTCAGTTTTGTGTAAGCATGCTGGCTGTGCCCAATGTCCACGGCGCAGCAGTATGCGTACTTAATGCTTCTCCTGCGTTCCGACTCCTGGACCTGAATGTCTAGGGGCACTTGGGCGGAGCGGCCGCTTCGTGCTGTGGCCGTCTTTGCCCACGTGTGGTCGTGTCACGGGAGAGACTGGTCAGAGCGAGGCCTGTGCAGATTGATCAAACATAATATGCTGATGCTAATGCTGCGGATGATGCTGATTCTGATCATGAGGATTATGATGATGGTGATGATGCTGCTGCTGATATTGATGATGATGATGCTGATGGTGATGAGGAGCAGGATGATAACCATTTTGAACATCGTAATGCTGCTGCTGTGGTTGCTGTTGTTGTTATTGTTGTTGTTGTTGTGGTTGTTGTTGTAGTAGTTGGTGATGATGCTGATGATGGTGCTGCTGCTGGCGATGTTGTTGCTGCTTATGATGGTGACGATGGTGATGATGGTGATGATGGTGGTGGTGATGATGATGCTGATGATGATTACGATGATGCTGCTGATGAGGATGATGCTGCTGTTGATGCTGCTGATGCTGCTGATGCTGCTGATGATGCTGCCGATGCTGATGATGCTGCTGTTGGTGATGATGATGCTGATGTTGATGCTGATGATGCTGATGATGGTGATACAGCTGCTGCTGCTGATGATATTGTTGCTGCTGATGGTGATGATGCTGATGATGCTGATGATAATGATGCTGGTGATGATGATGACGATGATGATGGTGGTGGTGTTGATGATGAGGATGTGCTGCGCGCGGCTGCTGCAGGAGGAGGAGGTAGGAGGAGGAGGAGGAGGAGGGAGGGAGGGAGGGAGGAGGGAGGAGGGAGGAGGGAGGAGGAGGAGGAGGGAGGGAGGGAAGAGGGAGGAGGGAGAGGAGGAGGGATGAGGCAGGGGGGAGGGAAA